TATTATTTTATACATTCATACAAATATGACTGTTTATAACTTCTTCAATTCACAGCAAAAGTAATATATTATCACAATAAACTGACATAATTTGCACCCACCATTTGTACCCAGTTTTAAGTACACTTATTGAATAGCTTGAAGAATTAAAACATTTTCACAAACTTAATATGGAAATTGCTGAACGGGTCGGTTCCTCGGAAACTTTCTCTAGAAGACACAGCCTATCCATATACAATAATACGGTAGTAACAGAAATAAGTAACACGTAATACGAATAGAACATAAACTGATCATACCGGTATCGATGAAGAATGGCGTTGAAAGCCAAGCCATCTCTCCAACTGGTCGTGAAGTTTTTCACATTGACACCAGGATAGCCGCTGGTGACCCGCTGAGCCCAATGCAGAAGGCTATCACGAGCCGAAACACCTGTCTGTTCATTGCCCCATGGCTCTGACACCTGCAACACAAGAAAAGAAATTAGTTAAACAATGAAACAGATAACGATTCGACTAACTGCTACGTGTCCCGGGTTAAACCACTGCTACGCGCCCAATGCATTACAGAAGATAATTAAAATTGAGGATGACATTGCCGGGCGAAGCAAGAGGGAACTCAGTGTCAGAATCAGCCAAATCTTAGAGAACTAAATTTGAAAAGTGAACTAAACGAAAAAAATTAACGAACAACATGGACAAATATTGAATTACAGACTTTAAAGAAGAAACAACGGGTTAAAGATGATAAGTGCGATTTTAATCATCAGATATCGAAAACTATTAGACAGAGGCAGAAGAAACCTCTACAACGGCACCAAGAAAAGGAGTACGAATGCATCGAAACAGCGACGAAGCATCGGTTTGTGTTAAAATATTGTTAGTTTATTTTGCAGTAACGAAATAGAGGTAAATTTTCATATCACCGGTATCAATAACTTACTCCCTTCCAGATTTACTCTTTGACAAACACATCATGCCATACGCATCGGTTACAGGCGTACTGCCACGTGTAAATCCGGAAATAACTACATGTGAGTGTTATGTTTACCAGCGATCACAATAGCATTTTGAAAGTAAGGCCAGAAGGGCGGTTTTCTTGCCTTACAGTTACGACTTTCAGATAATGGCACTTTAGGTGGTTACTGAAAAGTTGTTGCTCGATCCAGAACAACGATGTGGTTTTGCATCCGCGCACTATAAACACTAGCATTTGAGTAATGTGGAAATACAGTAACTTGTGCTAGCCATTTTGAAAGATTATTTCAGATGCCGTTAGAAACAATGTTCTAACGAAAGAGAATGAACGACGGTTGAACCATGTTCGGCAGGCTGGCTGCGGCAAATAACGAGGGTTAAACAGAGGGACGACGTAGCAAATGATTCTATTAACTTTTGAGCATGTGTGACTTCAGTATATGTGCAGATCAAGAAATGGAGGTTGGCAGTGTTTGATAAACTTGTTGAGCATACACATACACGCACTAGCGAGCTCCTCGTGTGGCAGTCGAAATATGCCACAAGTGGACTATCAGACGAGCATGAAAAATGGTGGAAGAAATTAGAGGCGGATCTGCTCTGCTTTTGGAGAAGAACATTTCCCTCCACAGGCGATGCAGTAAACGGTACCCAGTAGCAAGAGTGCTGACATGATGGATCACAAATCAGAGATGTGCTGCTTATGCAAACGGCTCAAAGTCACGATCACACAACACATATCGCTAGAAATAAGGGAAACGTTTGACTCAACGTGTAATCTTGAAAGGTGACGAAAGTTTCATTTGTGTATTTAGTGTAATACTTGAACATTATCCTGAATAAATCACACATTACGTGGATTAAGTTGCACGCACTGGTAAAGAAAGGGAACGCCCAGATAGGCCTACTGCAAAAAACTACGCCGCCTTGATTTGTTCCCCGTCATACATGAACAATCCATTAATCGGCTTGTTACACCGAAGTCCGTTTCAGCGTGAACGACGGGTAATAGTGACTTTGGAATTCGAACCCGTACCCGTGGGATGTATGGCGGAAACAAGTTCTACTGCTTCAATGACACAAAATGTTTCGACGTCGTCAAAAACAAGGAATATGCGCGGCGTGACCATTACTCAAAAAACACAGTCGACAGAAAACTGTAGAGCTGTTAGTAGACGCGAAAGACTGAAAGGGCTACAGTCGCAAATAATTTCTAAGGTTCATACCGATACCGTGTCGTGGATGACTTGAGCATGAGAGATCTTCTGATTTGATGGTTGACAGCAGAACAAACATGTTTCTCATGCTGTCAGCTATGCAACCAGAAGGCCTAACACCTTCAAGCTACAGTTCAAATTTCAGTGATTTATTTAATTTCTGTTCAGGTATTACTTGTGCCAAAACGCAACCTTCTCCGGCGATCTTAGACACTAGCATTTTCATACAACTTCACAGAAGTTAGACCTGGCAACCTATCATGAAGGTCATATTTATCACCAAGACATCTCAATGGCGCCGCAAAAACTTGACCAATCAGTGAAACGAAAGTTTAACACCGAAACTCATCGGCAACCCGTACTTCATAGGTGAAGGTAAAGGATCGCGGGGTGAGAGGCAAAAACTCCCTCATAACTATGTCACGGAAACGCGCAGTTGGCTGGGCGCCGCTCAGGCAGTGGAGAGCGCGAACTCGCGCGGGTGCAAAAGGTAACATTTTATCGGCTCAAGAGACCGGTGAGACGTTCAACATAACCGGCAAAGCAGCACGGCCGCAAATCTGCTCACTTGTCCTGATAATGATGATAAACATAAATAAACCATAAGATGAAAGTGCTCATGTGCATGAGACAAATTACTGAACGACTGTTAGCTACACTAGCCAAAATAACACAACAATTACAGGGCCGGTCCCTGAAACACACCTCTTATTTGAGTTCGTGATTGTTTTCAGTTAATGCCCAAGTCACACAACCATATACATCTGATGTAATACTGTGGTTTAACGTTTCCACATGGTTGCAACCGCAATTGGAAATTTTCTCTTTCCAAAAATATCTGCGTTGCCTCTGCATGTACTCGACGCTGCACGACTAGCGCATTGTAGAGCAATACGTCTACATGTTCCAAGTATCAATTAGTGACTTGTTCTAACGGTAGCTAATTCTAACACGAGCTCATTTCACACTATTTTCGTGCTCACCTCATTTACCGGAAATTCAACTTGCCTGCGCTTTAGCTGTAGCTCACACAGTGTCACTTGCACCAAGTTCTTTTGTCTTCGTCGTCAACAGCACGCTGTCGTCAATAAATCGAAAACAAATGAGCCTACCTGTCTGCAACTGATTGAAAGTCCACAGCAGAACATTGCACACAACATTGTCACATGTTTACATAGAGTGTTATTAAGATTGCAGCAACGTTATATCAGTGGTTACATATGCCGCTTTCGCCCGCATTCTTACACTGCCATCTCGATGACGGAAAACGTGCATCCTCTGTGACACGAGGATCTTCGAATATAACATTTTTACTATTTTAGAATTATAAGGTTCTTATTAAATTGATAATCCAAAATTTTGGATCAAAGCTGTCATGACTGAAAACCTGACCGACTACTGATCGACAACACAAGACGTTAATGTTGGCTTCAAACAGACAGCAATATTTCGACTGCATAAATTCAGTACATGGTCTATCCTCTGCATATAATTACATTTAACTTAATGACCAGTCATCGACAGTTACAATCAATGCTTACATCGAAAATACCTCCATGCTAATATGAGGCCTTGATTATATCTAAATATGAGGCCTATAATATGAGGCCTTGATTAGATCTAGCTAAAACCGGATGGCATCAAGTGAAACAGAAAATGGTTTCCAGATCACGGTGAGTTAAGTTTCGCACAAAGCACCGAGTTTTGAGTACAGTATCCATGTTCAGTTGAAGTTATCAGTTGGCTGAAGGACGACCTCGATTTAAAGGCTACAATCGAAACGACAATATCTTGTCGATCAACGTATGGCCACGTCTTTCGGACGAAAGTTTGTATTTAACAGTCTACTTTGGGTCTGTTGCATTTCTTTCGTGTCATAATATGATGACATTTCTTTCGAAACCTTACGTCAGAAATTTCAGCCGGTTTGTTGATTAACGATTTAAAGCGCCAAATAAAACCGATAGTAAAGCTTAGCTATGACGTGATTCGCCACCACATGATGAGTTATATCCCTATTTTGCAGTAAGCGTAATATCGAAAGGCGCAAGCAGTCGGTTTTTTGGTGCAGCAGCCACACCTTCCCCCCTCCGTCACTGCGAACAGACAGAATAGCTACAATTACAACAACAGAACGGCAAACGAAAACGACCAGTCGTACCTGCTAGCATGCGATTTAAAGCAATCAATTTAACCGAGTACACAAATCAGGCGAACACAAACAAGTAACGTTTCTTTAAATGACTTTCTCATGCATGCGGCTGAATTGCTGATCTCTCAAGACATTTTCATTCAAAGAACACCCTCCTTAGTACTACTCGTCAATGGCATGGCAAAAACAAACTGCCGCGATGCCTGTCTCTCATGTGAGCCAGTGTGTTGGCCAGGAAACAGTGCTATCGAAATCTGCCCCGCTCTAAGCGCACATTCTCCAAAGTACGAGCAATGTGAAATATCGCTGCATGAACTGTCCCAATGGGACAGCGTATCCTGGCTGTTTGTTTCCATATAGCTTTCTCTTTGCTGTTATAGGACGATTCAATTAGTTTCGCTTTGGTCGTTCTGTCTGTCCATATTCTGTATATATCAGATTATTGGTTCTCATCCTTCATAGCACCCCTGTGTGAAACTGACCAGCACTGTCAATATGTATCATCAGTCTACCTTGACAGACAAGAAAAGAGGCTTTTTTAGCGCATTTCCATGTTAGAATTCGCTGGCGTTCTTTAGGCCTTGCCCAGCCCTATGCTTTCGTAGGAATGAGACCCCTGACCGGTTCAGTCGGTCACCGTTAACTAATTACACGAATTAACATAACTTCGTAATGAGTTGCCAACGACCACCGGCTACCAGTCCTTATCGAAAGAATGATCAGACAACAAGGTCGAAGAGACCGGTCTGGCCGTCAGTCGACCGACCAGTAATCGAAGTCAAGCTATGGTCGTTTGCTGAAATGCGCCTTCGGCTGTTGTCATCATCGTGTCGTCGACTAACGTCTTAGTCGTCTAACGAGGTACTGCGTGTTTATCGGTGCAATACGAATGCAGCCAGTTCTTCCGTTCAGTTAACATTCCGAAGGCGCCTAGTCAAGACGCACTCGATACGATGTTAATTCGACAAACCACCATCGAAGTTGACATGTTTCCGTGTTTACGCTAAATCGAGCCGTTCCTAATTACGACACCAAATTCATACAACACATCAACGCCGACGTCATCATAAGCATTAAGGCGTCGAAGTTTCACAAACACACATAGCTTTTAAGACACGGGGTGCCTTCAAAATATTTAATTATTTATTCGTCACAAGTTTATAAGCTATGAACAAAGCAAGAGAAGCATAATGAAAGGCATTCGTTGCCTTACTAGTTTAATCCCTTAACAAAATGTCCTCAGTCTAATTGAAAACAGTGAAACTTTGTAGAAAATATTCCTCAATCCTTTGAGTTCAGATTTTGTTGACTGGACCGTTTAACGATCTAATTTCAGTCTGTTCGATTACAACAGATGCTGGAGGCTCTAGTTGCGTATCCGGCACAAGAAAATGTGCAACGGGGTTGTATGACAATGCCTTGACATGCAACCTACTGGACAGCGTCGTTACGCTACCTGATCTTCTTTCTACATTATACCACGTTGGAACCATACTGTTTACTCGTCGAACACAAGCATTCCACAGTTCGATTCGTGTGAATGAATTCGGCTGGCCGGGCTAACACATAGAAAGGCGCAGAAAATTTAACACTAACATCAGCAGCAACAGCATTTTTCGTTCCACCGCTAGTTCATTTTAAAAGTCCTTATTCTCAGCTCACCCCTTGAATAACAACCATTTTATCCATTATCGCATAATGAGTCTGTAACGTCACTTAACCATATATACACTTTTGAATCTGAACCCTCCTTGTGCGCATAACCATGTTTCTAGAGCACTTCCTAGTTTGAAACATATTACTGGAAATTTTTACACAACAGTCTTTAGTAGGTTTGCTCCGCAGCTGTGTCAATATCCATATCAATATCATACGCCAACGTTTGAAACCGCAAACCACATCACCTGCACGATCCGGATTCGGATCGTCGAATAAAATCTTCAAACGAACGTTTGTAACGAGTCTCATCAAGCTGTCAGTTCGATATGGGAATCCGATGAGATCGGAAAAGTCCGATCCAGAAACTTGCGAATTATGGATTATAACTGCATGAGGCAGACCGCCAATAAAGAATGAATACTTATCCCAATGAGTAATTTTTTAATTCCATTCTCATTTGCTACGTTTTGTGCTTATTGGTTTCGAAGACTAAAACGACTAAACAGGAATGGGTTGACTGCGGTCATCTTGCAGTCGTGTATATAGCAGTAAACCATGAAAACTTAAACAAACAACGCCAACGCAACATGAGCTGTTCCTCTCATCAGCCGTAGTGACCGTTACTATTAATGCGAAAGGTGCGGTATAACCTAGCAGTGATGCACCCGTCAGACAGCGGATTTCATGCCCTGCAAGGAGGTAGTTGGACGAAAACGATGTTCTGGCCACAGACCAGGATGCAATCGCTGGAAATGACCATGTCTTTTGCCGTTTAGCCACGAACGAAACGAGGTCATTATCTCATTATGGTGCTGCTTATCTCCGAATGGAGGACAACGAAATGGACGGAGAGCAGACTGAGAAGATGCTAAATCAAAATAAGGAAAAATGG